ATTGTTATTAATCTTCACGTTACTGGGATCATGAGTCTAAAAATAACAACAACAAAAAAAAGAAGAAGCCTAAAAGTTTATGCAAAACCATAAAACTTTTATCTAAGAATAAATAGAATACGTTGCAACAGATTTATGATCACTAATTGTCTGACGAAGCTGAAAGTGGCCACAGTTTTGCAGACATCCAGCATATTTCTGGTCTTTTCTAGTTGTTTCTGTTTGATTCATGAGTCAGATGATGGACATTAAATGACTTGCACTGCCACCAGGCTCATTTGGAATTTGCAAGATAAAGATCTCCAGGTCACATGATAGATATCCGATTTCCTGAGCATGTTTTGTGTTAAGGAAGTGTGTTGGGTGGCTTGAACGGTCCACCGGTGATTTACACAACTCCACATGAAATAATGGAAAGTGGTGGAAACAAATGATCTGCAGGGCATGTTGATTATCTGACTTTCCATCTGAGCTGCAGGGATGTGATAAGAAGCGTTTCTCTTGTTACAGCTGAGGTACTTCATGTCTTACACACACCACACTAATCATGAACAGCGTTCTGCGCACGTTTAATGATACTGATCTAAATCTGTGAGCAAGAACACCCCAATTATTTTATTCAAAGGTTTGTTTCTACTTGACTAGTTGTTAAACACGTTATCTGAATGTTTGGTGAGCTTCTTCTGAGATGGGATCGGGGGAATAGAAAAGGAAGTGTCACATGTTGGGTCATATGCACGTTCTCGCAGAGAAAAGTCAAGATATGGAAGATATTGAAATTTTTTCCCAATCACATCATCTTCCAGTGTCTTGTTTTATTATCAGATATCTTCAGTCAGCAGAGCTGGGTTGATTTTTCATCAAATATGTCCACTCATATGACATATATGATTATTACAAGACTGTCTCTAGTGAAGTTTGATCTATTTTAATATCTATATGACAAATAACTAAATGTTCTCAATAAAAAAATATGAAAAACAACAAAGAGAAAGCAAAGAGTGTAGTCCATCTATTTGGGGATCATCCTGATCAGAATCTGGACAGGTTTATTTCAGTGTGCTGAAAGGGAGGCTCAACTGGATCCACGTCTAGGAGGAGCAGTGAGGCTTTCATCTCGTTTCACTAAACGTCGACCGCATCTTTGTCCACACAGAGTTTCTGTGGGGCTTATGGTTATCTACTCCACATATAGTTTGGGAGCTGAGAAGGCTTGCAGCCATGAACCCTGAGGGATTTAATGAGGGCGCTGCGAGGTGCCAGGGTTACTCTTGTGGGCTATGAAACCAATGCAGGCGCTGTGACTGTGTGGTCATCCCTGGTGAGGGCTGGACTTTGCCAGGACTGTTTATTGTTTCAGTTTGTTGTGTTCATGAACAGAAATTTGAGGCAAAGACATGAAAGAGGGAGTGAGATGGGGGTGTCACCTCACAAATGAGTCATACTTCCTGCGAGAGATAAGGTGAGGAGCACAGTCATCCAGGGGTAGCTCAGAGTAGATCCACTGCTCCTCTCTATCAAAAGGAGTCTTGCGTTTCGGAAATCTTATTAAAATGACTTCTGGATTGCTCTCCTTGGAGGATTTTCAAACATGTCCAGGAGGAGACTCTGGAGAAGATCCAGAACCCACTAGAGGGATTATATGTCCTCTGTGGGCAAGGAACACCTTGGAGATGTCTGGACTTCTCTTCTTGACCTCTGCCTCTATGACCCGACCTCAGATAAGAGGTTTTAAATGGATGGATGGGTCTTTAAAACAATACAACCTATTTCTGACGAGAGAACTGACCATAATGACCAAAAAGATCATGATTGAAAAGCTGACCCCTGAAATATATACTTGCAAAAAAAATTACTGTTTGGATGTTTTTATTGTTGGCGTAACCTTGACCAGCCTGAAAACAATTTTTGTTGACTGATTATAAAAGTAAATCAACGCAGAACTAAATTCAATTTCATATTTATTGCTCCATGATAAAATGTTGCATTAAATCAGTGGTGCCTGGACAATAGGGGGTGCTAGGGCGCTGCCCACCACTCAAACCACTCACATATTACCTTGAAGACAGAAAATAAATCAAATAAAAATGAAATAATACAATAAAAATATTTTGAAATTCAGTATATGTATATATTTTTTTATTTGTGTAAGATAAATATTTTATAGTTAACGATGAGTAAAGTTGTTTTTTTCAAAAACATTCTCTCTGATTGATGAAATATTCCCGCCCTGGGGGCGCAAGAATCTTTGCCCAGAGACTATCGCTAAAAGTTGTGCATGCACAGTTAGCTCCTCTTCATTACAAGAGATGGGAAGATTCTGGGCGCACCACTCCTGCGCCCTGAATACGGTCACATGGTCCGGATCGTGCTTCTGGTCCCAGAACAGATTATTATTATTTTACTTTTTCTGTTTGTTTTTTGTTCCTGGAACAGATCATGCAGTGACTCTCACAACCAGTGTTGTGATATGTGTGTGTATAAATATATA